GACTTTTTAACCTCTGATAAGAAGTTTTTATTCCATGTCAAACCGACTGCGTAGGGAGGCTCCAACTAGCAGAGTGAGCAGATCTGCAGATTTTTTTTCATTTCTGTTTCTGTGCCACACAAATTAAAACCATATCCCCCATTTGACTTGAAGAGATTATGAAAACGTATTAAAAATAAATAAATAAATAAAAATTAAAAAACGCCTGTGACAGACTGACAACCTGTTCAGGGTGATACCCCGTCTCTCGCCCATATACTAACAGAGATGCATTTTCCCCCATCGCGACTCAGACAGAACAAGCAGGAAAAGATGGATGGATGGACAAAGGCACAGCTATACAGCACAGCCCAACAACGAGTCAGTGCAGCATCTCAAAAAAAGAACAGATAGAGAATTTTCATATGTCTACATTAACAACATATTGGCAGAACGCAGCAATGAAGGCTGTGGGATGGTTATATGCCGGATGAGGCAGTGCGAGGTGATTCAGAGAGAGATCTGGTAATTTTTTTTTTCCTCATAAGAGGTGAGAAGTATAATGTGACATGCACAACTTTTTTTTTTGTAAGGCTCAAAAAGGAATACTACTTAACACATTGCACGCATCTTTCCCTCTTGCTATATATGCTGTATGTGACTCCAAACCTGACTTTTTCCCCTTGCAACTAATGGATTTTATTTTGTATTTTTCCCCCAAAGTTGATGTGGCTTACTTTGTACCGCGTCCCTCTTCCTGTTAGAACCATGAAATTGCAGAATGAATTGCCACATATTACGACTAAAATAGACTTGGGCTCTATCTCAGTCAGGGCTCAGCAAGCCATGTCGGCTGTGATCATCTGGATTGACTCAACGAGAGCTAAACGCCAAGACCTCATCCGACAAGATTTTCTGTCAGATCAGACGAAAAATCTGATTCCGTGTGTTCAGGGGTTCACCATGTGTTCAGGGGTCATTAACTGCATTAAACATGCGCCAAAAATGCGCATGAATTTTATGAGCATGTTGCGTATTAATCAGCTGTATATTCTGCTCTCAGATGCAATCTCCATTCTGCTCTGGAGCAGCAGAACTCTGTCTGTAAGCCTCTATGAGAAATTCCTGCTGAGGTTTGAGCCTCTGAGTATTGAAGCAAGCAGAGAGAAAGAAGAGCCCTGATTGGATAACACAGCAAAATACTTCCAGAGAGGCTCAGCCTCTTAGAGGGTCTATAAAGCAGGGGAGGGTGGTGAAACTGGCAGCTTGATGATTATTGGCCAACATACTTAAGGATTTTTGACTGACAGCGACGGGACAGCAAGGAGGTTTACTCATGTGTCGAGAGAGAAAAGTAATACTTCAGTAGGAATAGTCGTCTTGTGCTGAACTATTGCCGTGGTTTCTGGAGTTAATTATTTCCAAGCACTTCACAACAGCTATTTCACCCATTGTAGTGATGTGTTTAAAAAATTTTGCTAAGGCAATACGATGCATTTGGATTTCATTAAAACCACTGACCCTCCCCTGTTTCAGAGAGCAGCAGTGGCCAATGCTAAAAAAAAAACAGATCACAATCAGTGAGGGTCTTCAGGGACAAATAAACCAACTGGTTACGATAAAGCTAAAGCATTTGGCTAAAATTACCATCTTTCTATTTCGAGGGGCAAAAAAAAAAAAAAAGAGGATGGTTAATAAACCTGAGAACGGCATCTGAAAAACATGTGGTATCATCATGTCATCTGGTTGTTTTAATGCAGGAGGGACTGATGCGCTTTGCAAAATATTATGGATATTATAAAGAAGCGATGATGTAGAACCACTGAAGCAGCATCTCTTTCCATCAGCCAGAAAACTAAAGGCCAACTAAAAATGGTACCTTTAAATGAACGTTGGCCCTAATCTTACGGTTAGATTAGTTATAAAGTAGATCAGGGAATGACAAAGTCGATATTTTGGAGTAAAAATCACACAACCTTTATTTAAATCCCATTTAGAGTTTGTATGTAGAGAACAAAGAACTGGACCAAATCCCACAGCTCTGCCAGGAGGAATGGGTCTTAACTGTAGCCAAGCGCTAGCTGTGTTTCCATTACAAAACTGCGCAATTACCGTATTTCCCTTAAACAAGAAATACACTTAAAATTGCACGTAAATACGTTTGCTCACATGATAACTCCTGAAAACAGAATGGCAGCAGCAGATGAAAAGAGATGAGGTATTTCCATCTTTCAGAGCTCATCTCGTTCTTCGTCACAAACTAAATGTGAATGAATCCAGTTATGCTGCGCCATCATCCTCCCACTACTACATTTCTTCTGTGTCTTTTTTACAAGGCAGTAAGGATCAGTGCAGATCGCATGACTCTTGGGATTTGAAAAAAGTGTTTCCACTATAGTCTTGTGAAGTATATTAATTTTGAAAAAATGCGCCATATATGTGTAAAAACTTTTCATAGAAAAATGTGAGCATTTTCAAAACTGCTGTTTCCATTTAGCAAACTTATTTCCGTACAATTTGCACAAGTTGATGGTAAATGAAAACACAGCTACTGTGGAAAACGTGTTCAGTGCTTACCAAACTGGGGCATGCACCCCTTATGGGTGAAGCAAAGGGGGCATGACAGAATTTAATTTAATTCAAGGCCTTTTTAGGATACTGTTAACAGTAAAATATGCATTTAAAGTTCCAATCATTATATTTCATAGGTTGTAGTTTTGTAATTTAAAGGAGATTGTAGTTTTGGGGGTTTTCTTTTGCAACATTGGATATAATGCTGTTGACTGTTCTTGTTACCGTAGCCTAGTAAACTAGCCCCATCCACCAGCGCCCAAAACATTTTTTGCTTGCAAGTTTAAATCACATTTAGTCTGGTTTATCAGGCTATGTTCTTATTTCAATTGTGGAAAAGGTTGGTCAGGATGGGTGGGGGTGAGAAATTGGGAAGAAGACTTTCTTATAAATAAAAACAGGGACCCAGCAGCAAAAGTTTGGGTAAAAGATACCAAAGACTTAAAACAAATGTAATTCGGTTAAAAAGTCAACTTTAAACAATACAAAATGTATGAAATCTTCAGAATTTGAAGAAAATATTCCAAACTGAGAAATTACAAATATTTAGTCAGATTTAGTGTCTGACAGTCAGAAAATGTACGGTATGTAAATATAAAATGCAATCATGTACCAAGTTACACCTGAAAACATAGATTATCTGGACTACGGTGTATCAGTTTACATCCTCTCATCTACTCTATGGATGAAAATCGCTGTACTCGTAGTTATATTAACAATCAGCTGATTTGCATACAACCCAGACACGTTTAGAGAGAGATTGCTTAGCTCCGTGTGCACAGCAGATATTTTATTGCCATGAATGAGCTCAGCACACTTTGACTCTGTCATGCAAACAAAACATGGGCAGGCTGGTCTCTGTTTCACCAAGTCTGCAACGTCCAAAAACTATCTCTCCATCTTTTACAACCCGCTTCGAGGAATTAAGGTAAAAGTAGCAATTGTTCTCAATCCCTGCAAACCAATTCATAAAAAGTGATAGTGATATCAGTGACCACATCTCATCTCTTGATTTTAATTTTGATTTTAATGAAGAAAAGCACTGTGATCTGGAAGCAAAAAACAAGGCGTCGTAAAAGCGTCCAAAGTGCAGTCAAGGTTCAGAGTGGACTGGGTGAGTTACTCGTGACCAACGGCTTCAAAGGGCAAAATGAATCACTTAATTGGGTTCTTGAAAGATCCCTGAACTGGCATAGGCCCCTCCCCTATTTCTACAGCTGACTGTAAAAATTCTTTTTCCCAGAAAATCACTGAGACATTGTCGTACTATTAAAAATGAGTAACTGTTGCATGGAACTAAAACTGTGCATAAAACAAGTGTGACATACAATTGCATTCAGACTATTTCATTCTGAAAGCTGTAAATAAAATCCAACTCATCTGATTACAGTCCAGAACTCTGAAATATGGGAGTGAGGATAGTAGACACACATGAGAAAATGCTACTTGGAAAAGCTAATTTCATACAACACAAAAACACAGCAGCCCCATAGTTAAACATGGTGGTGGCAGCACCATGTTGAGGGGTGTCCTTTCTACAGCAGACAGTATTAAATTGGTCAGCCTGATCTATTTTTATAAGGAGGAAGTTCTGAAAGGCTGGTAGAGAAATAGGAAGTATAAAACACTTAAAACTAAAATTATTCTGATTTTTTAAAATAAAATCAAATGATTTAACAAACTAGGAAGAACCGTTTTGCAAGGCAGGGAAGCAGGAATTAAACTCCAAACAAACTTTAAAAATGTGCTACTAAAAAAAGGTAGTCTTGACTTTATTAAAATATAAGTGTTAAAAAGAGGCCTCCAAACTCATCATCATCTTCTTCACCATTTGAAATTAAAAAGATGCACATCCAAGAGGATGTCCACGTTAAAAAGAGGCCAGGATGGGGTTTCTGAATTTGTGCCGCAGGTTGCCTGTGTGGATTGATCTGACCCCCTTTAAACTCCCACCCACCCACCCTGTGTGGCTCTTTGTATGAGTGGGACAAGGGATGGGGAGGGAGTGCACACCAGAAACATCTGACTTTTGATTCACACAGATCAAAGGAACCATTTCAGGAGAAGGACCTTTAAAAACGTATAACAATTCCCGGTTGGCCAGCTGTCTGAATCAGCGGACACCGCCGATCCTTCATTGATGCAGCTTAATTTAATGCAAACAGCTGGAGAAAAGGTGAGATGTTATTTCATTCTTATAAAGATCAATCTCAGTCTATTTTTATAATGTGTGGGTTTTGCTGACTCGTCTTCCCTCTTTACTCTTTTGTGCATTGATTGAGAGCAGTTATGCAAGCCTCTACCCTCCATCCACTTACAGATTAGACACTCAAAAAACACCCACACCTCCATCCCACAGGCTCATGAACTCCTGTTTAACTCTAATCCAGCATCCTGATGTGCATCATGCTACCTGATCACATAAAACACCTCTTTGTTTCCCATCTTACCCCATGCCGACATGCTTGCTCGTTCAGAGCCTTCACCCAGGTTCTTTGCCATTGCTCCCTGAAGGGCTTAAAGGAGAACAGCGAGGTCAGCAGGCCTTTAACCCCAGCTTCAGATGCAGCTCCTCCACCCTTTCTGGAGCGCAGCTTCATCAGCAGGTAGCCCCAAACGCTTCCAGCCTGAATCTGTTGGAGCTGAGAGAAGAATGCATTCTGCTGCTGCAGCCAAACCGTCTCTCCACCAAATTGCTTGGAAACCTTCCTGGATTTCCAGATGCGCAGCACAGTCAGCGAGTACTGGAGCAGCCATCCCAGCACTATGAGCAAGGAGGTAAGGAAGAGAGCCACCATACAGAGCCAGCCCAACTCCTGCAGCTCCATCAGCGCCTCCTGGAGCCTCTCATATCCTCACGTCCAGAAGGAAAGATCAGAGCTGAGGACAGGACAGGTCCGCTCGCTTCAGCCTGGAAATGCAATCACACAGACGCTGCGTTATTATTCAGGTTTAGAAAAGAGGGATCAAACATGCACATATCGGATATGACCCCCCCACCCCTCCCCAACTTTGATGTGGTTATTTTTGGGTCACCCAGCGTGTTTTCCAGGCATTGCAAAAGCAGATGTAATTAAAACTGCGCATATCTTCCAGCGAAAAAATAGAAAGAATCAGGCAGATTAAAAACGGGTCTACGTTGCGCAGATCAACGGAATAGCCTCGATCAATTGACTGCAGCCTCCCACCGACCTGAAGTTTAATTCAAAGGCTCCGAGCTGCAGGCTCCAGGTAAGCGAGCGAAGCTTTCTTCACGGTGATACGGAGCGAAGCGAGCGGCTGAGATGAGTCCCATCTCCCTCCCTCCTGGTTCTCATCAGCGGACCCAGAACCAAACCTTCCTCTCGGTGGGTTTCAGGGCATCACAGCCTCCCAGCGGTTCCGAAACCTGCGCTGGTTCTACACCTCTACGCTGAATCCGGCTTGTTATGATGATCTGGCAGAGAGCACGGTGGCCGACAGGTGGCGCTGCGGGGAGGAAGGAGCAAGAAATCAAAGGGGAAGGGCTTCAAAATAAAAGCACAAGTTATTATTATTTTATTTTATTTTTAAAAACACTTTATTACCTAAACAGTGTTATATAAACAAAATATGTACAAATGAAAATATGCATTTACAAGGTATTTTCTTCAATTCAGTTTATTTATATACCTCCAATTCACAACACAAGTCATCTCAAGATACTTTACAGTTCACCAAATCATTCAGTCAAATTGATTCAAAGTTTTCTATCTAAGGAAAACCAGTTTATTGCATCAACTCATTGACTTGGATGCAATCCCTCACACTAAGCATGCTTGTAGCGACAGTGGAGAGGAAAAACTCCCTTTTAAACCTCCTGCAGAACCAGACTCAGTGTGAGCGGCCATCTGCAGAAGCCGACTGGGGTTCAAGGAAACAGAAGCGCCTCACCTTTAGAAACAAAGGTGAGGTAAGGAGACGAAAACAAAAAAAGCAAACAAACAAGATAACACTAAATAAATTCTATTACACAAGTACACTTTTCCATTAACTTATGAGCATTTAAAAAGACAACACTCATAAAAAAACTAATACAGAATTTGTCAGTTTCTTAAAATTTGATTTATAAATAAAACATTGTTTTTATCAAATATATGTTTTGTTCACCAAGAAAGTGATTTTACTACTTACTTTTTGTTATTTAAACAGAAGTAAACATTTTTTTAACAAAACAAACAAACAAGAACATCTTCATGCAAGAATATACAATAAAAGAACAAATGCTCAGTCATTTAGATATCCTTGTAACAACATGAACAACAGTTGGAGTTAAAACCTAGAAGCACCTTTAAATATTATAAAGCAAAGAAGAGAAATTTTTTTTTTTCCCATTTTGGGGAAGATTCAAGAGTTGGTTTACATGAATGAATGAATGTATGAATGAATAACTTCAGTGCAGGCAATCCAAAAAATCAATTCAATCAATTTCATTATGTATATTTGAATTCTTATGTCTAAAAATTTTATAATAATGTAAAACTTATTGAATTGTGACACTTCTCAGTTTAGTTTCCCTTTAGCAGGAGATGTCTATTCATTATTTTAAAAAGTATGCTTTTTAATGTTAAAGTTATATGGTACTAATTGAAAATCATTGACTGTAAGTAAAGTTACCGCAGTATTGAAAAAATTATGTTCTTTAAATAACATTTGATTGTCTGTCCTATAGGATGTGAGTTTTGCAGACAGTTTACAACAAATTAAGTTATACTTTAAAATAGAAAAAAAAGTTAAATTCAGAATGATAGTTTGAAACACTTGAATATGTCATATTTAAGCAATAAATATGGTAAAGACATATATTATTTTTGCTTTTATTATTTAGTCACAACTACCAACGAAAAACATTTACGTGTATAAAAAAATCAACAAATATAAACAAATGCTATTGCTAGTTTTTGTCAACAGGTGGCACTGTTTTGTTATTCTCACCGCTGTATCAAGCGAAGAAGAGCATGACACTTCCGGGTAAGTTAAGAGTACATCATTTATATTATTTGTAGGATAATAAAAAAAAAAAAAAAATCAGATGTTTAAGCTTAGGACTAAAGAAAATTGTGCATATATTTAGTAAGGGCCTCTAGTTTAAATTAAGGAGACATTTGTTTTGTATGATTCCAGACAAACTTCGTGAAAGTACACGCTTTGTGTGATTTTATTTTGAAATGTAACGGAAATACTCCATATTGTCGTCATCAACTGATTGTATTAGCTGTTACAGAGACGTGGAGTTAAGAGAGAGTCAGTTTACAGCTTGTTACAGTAACGCCACCTTATCAAATATGATATAAGCTTCAAATGTAACTTATGGAGTTTTTTTTTATGACTTTGCGATTTAACCACTGAGCGGCTTTCAAATGACTGCGTTTGGTGATAATACCTCAATGACAACTCCTAGAGCTTCCTCATCAGTCGTGTAAAAGGGCCCACTGTAGGGTTAGCTGCTGTGGAGGCGTGATTTTGTTGTGTTTTGGATGAGAATGGCTGAAAACATGTCGCCTGTCCCTGTCCTGCCGCTGATCATCAACTGTTTGCTGTCACTACTGGGCTGCATGGCCACATTGAAGCTCATCCCTGCCTTCAAAGATCATTTCATCTCAGCCAGACTCTACGGGATGGACCTGAACAAAACTCACAAAAAAGAAGTGTGAGTCTTTAAATGATCTCTCTTTTTTGTTGTTGTTTTTTTGTGATTTCATCCTTTGCATGTTAAACATGCTGAGTTTAATTCATGATGAAGTTGTTCATGTTTCCCTGATCACTCTTCTTTGCAGCCCAGAGTCCCAAGGAGTCATTAGTGGTACTGTCTTCCTCATCATCCTCTTCTGCTTCATCCCAGTGCCTTTCCTCAGCTGCTTTGTGGGCGATCAGTGCAAGGGCTTCCCTCATGATGAGGTCGGTGAACATGTCATCAAAGAAGCCTGTAGGCCAGGAATTAACTTTGTGATGAAAGTTGGTGGGGACACTCATAGGGTGGGGGCTGTTTGACCTACAGTTACTCCACCCGAATGCTTTCATTAGGTTTTTGTATTTTCCAAAAATGACCTCAAACATGTATTTATTGAATGCTTTCCTATTGTTGGGAACAAAAGAGAACTATAATACACAGATATTTATATTTATAAATAGTTAGAGAGATGCCTTTTAGAGCATTACATATATAGGGCCCAAAAACATTGATGTATAAAAAAATAACAGCCGATTCTGATGCCAAAATCGATATATCATGCATCCCTAGAAGTCCAATTTTAATTCCATCCAGGATAAATATGGATATGCTGCATTTTGAATATAGCATAGCATATTTTTTTTTTCTTGTAAACTTTCTGGTAAACTTGGAGATATATTTATTGCATGTTGCATATCCCAGTAAATCTGTTTCACCTTTAAATCTGCAGCTCTCCCTACTTCTCTCTGTGTTCTGTTTAAAAATGATTTATGAACCTATTTACTAATATAATGATGCCAGAAAAGAAAATTTCAATATATATAGCAGCTCTGCAGTCTGATTCTGTCTGCACAATAAGAAAACATGTTAGTTTTAACCTGTAACTGGAAGTCATTGTCCTCTGAGAAGCCAAGCTTTAACTAGTAAAGAAGACCAAACTATGTTTTCTCAAGCTTCTTGATTTATAATAATAACTTGTATAAACTTACAATTTTTGTTGCCATTTTTAGCTGAAAAAGCTCCGTATGTCAAACAAACAGATTTTTTTCAGTGGTATGATCTCTAATTTTTTTAACCAACCCTTCTCCTTTCTTTTACTTAAAAATCGAAGTAGCTGCTGGTTAATATTCACTGAGTGCTGCTGTGTCTCTCCTCCTACCACGTAGCTAATTCGTATGCAGTTAAATATGACTGCAGATCAGATTTCTCAAAGGGACAGATACGATCATGTTACATCGAGATGCGAGACACTGGAGTGTCAGGAGAGGAAAAATAAGAACACAGTGCACAATGCTCTGAACACAGATAAAGTAAATAATCGGAAAGGGGGAAAAAAGCAGAAATTATTGGTGGGGACATGTCCACATCTTTCCTTCAGAGAGTTACACCTGTGCCTGTAGGGGATGTGGATATTTTTTTTTGCACACCTGGTAAAAATGAAACAACTTTATGGGGTAAAAATAACTGTCAATAAAGAGGTGTCTTAGTCGGTGCCTAAAGACAATATAGATTGTTAACTTTAATAATTACATTTTTTATTTGTTTAATCATACATACATGTGACATTACATATTTAATCTGTCATAAAACAAGTTTAAAAGTTAGAAAAACAATAAAATAAACACAAATCACAAATTTACAAGTACGAATTTACCACCCCCTCTGAAGCTGTTAAACTCCTTGCCAGATGGTGGCAGTAATACACCTGAAGGCTGTTTGTCAACTGCCATTAAACAAGAAGAATAGATAGAAGACAAAAACAAATATCAAGTGTAGGCTAAATCTTTGGCGAAATGTTTTAAAAGCTGGACGATACAATGTTCGACCAATGGTGCTGTTTTTCTTCTTCTTCTTCTCATTTAAAGTTGGTTGTTTCAGATGCATTGAAGATTGAATTACAGGTTTTAGATGCATTAGCACCACCAAGTGGTAAAGAGAGTAACAGCTTCATCGTGGTGGTAGATTTGTTCTTATAAATTAATCATTTGTGTTTGTAATGTGGCAATATAAGCTTTTTAATTACTTTGTAACGTCTAAGCTTGTATTCTCACAAATTAAACATCTGATGTCACATGTATGTATGAGTTGATGAGGAACAAATTCAAATCTTAAACTGAATCATGTATGATGACCGGAGTTCACATTTTAGACACCTATGCATACGTTTTTCTTGATGGTTATTTTACACAATACAAAATAATCTGTAATTGCAATGGCATTGTCACACTAAATATTTTGGAAGTCAAAACATTTTTTTTCCACATTTACTTAACAGGAAAGAAAATCATCGGTGGTCCAATAATTAATATTTTCTTAATCCCATAATGTGTTTTTTGTGTCTGCTTTGTTTGTGGGGATAAGATGCCCATAGATTGAGGTTGATTCTGTGTCTTTACTTTTTTTTGTATCGATTAGCTTTATATTTTAGTTCATTATACTAAAAGATAGGATTGTTGTACCAGAAATATGACTCCTTTACGTTTTTCTGGTACGAATTTTAGATGGCTGGGCCTGTCGATTGTTTTAGTAATCGACCCATCTATTGACAATCTTTTTCAATTCTACACAACAGATACTTTTTATAAATTAATATTTCTAAATAAACAAACATTTGATATCTATATATAAAAAAATATCTTATTCTGCATTTTAGATTAAGTGTGAATAGGAAAACGTGTAAAAAAAATATTTTTCTAGTGGTCTGAGTTCCTGAATTGTGTTTTTTTTTTTTTTCTCCATGTGTCTGGATGAGCAGTTTGTACAGCTGATTGGTGCATTGCTGGCCATCTGCTGCATGATCTTTTTGGGCTTTGCCGACGACGTGCTGAACCTGCGCTGGAGGCACAAACTCCTCCTTCCCACCATGGCCTCTCTGCCGCTGCTGATGGTCTACTTCACCAACTTTGGCAACACAGTTATAGTGGTTCCCAAGCCCTTCAGAGCGCTGCTTGGGATGCATCTAGATCTGGGTACGTTGATCACAGCATTGTTGGCTTGTTTGCGGGGATTCTCAAAACTTCTAAGGCTAGAAATCCACTCCGATGGACTGTTGACAAACTGTCATTTTTTTGGTGGTGGTTTGGATTTTATGTTAGCAGCCATTATAAAGGAAAGCATAGTTTGAAATTGAAATGTGATTACTAAAAGTGTGTAAAGGATTTTAATCATGGCCCCTCCTTAGTCAATCTACTGCACAACCACCTTTTAAACAGCCATTGCAGGTGTAAGCCTTGAGGAATAAGGCTTTAACAGCTTTGCTTATCTAAATTAGAATAAGTTTTCTAATAAACCGTCTGATATCTTAAACAGAAGAGCCTGATATTTACAGAATTAGACAAACAAAGGGTGACACTTTGGTATTTGCTCAATAAATAACTCCTGTTAAAGTGGTCACAGAGTAATAGGGGGAGTAATGCAAATCCACACTTTTCAGGTTTTCATTTCTAACTAAGTGAAAAAATAAGTGTATTAAGGTTGGAATTACTTTTGCATCCATTAGATGTTTGATATTGTGCTAATAATTCATTTGATTTATTTACATAGCTCTAATTCATAACACATGTCATCTCAAGGAGCTTTGCAGAGAAAATTCAACCAGATCATACTTTCAGATTGGTTAAACTTTTTGTTTCTAAGAAAACTCAGCTGATTACATCAATCCATTGACTGTGCAGGATTCAGTCCTCATGGATGAGCATGTAGCAACAGCATTTACTTGCACTATGTTGTTAACTCTTCAGCAAACTCTCACACTGGGCATGGGTACAGGCACAGTGTTGAGGAAAAATTTTGTTTAACAAAAAGAAATCTCTCGCAAAGCCAGGCTCTGTGTGAGCACCCTTCCACCAAGGCAGGCTGGGAGTTTAAAAAAAAGAAGAAGACATACAAGATAAAAATAAAAGCACTGATCCACGAAAACTTTTAATGTTTGTGAAGGTAAAGATAAACTAGCTCCACTGATGGCTTTGTCTAGGAAAGACAACTAGGCAGGCGAAAGGGGGTGAAAGAGAGCACAACCAGTTAATCACAGTAAAAGCTGAGTCCATAACTATGTCTATGAGAGAAACAGGACTTAACACTGAACAAACCAGACCAACTCTCATCATATATAATCAGCGGTGTTAATGGGCAACAGTCCAGCTGATATTTCTATCCAGGATGGAGTCACAGCCAAACAGAACCAGGTCAGATTAAGCTACTGTCACGATAAAACTAGTGAGAATATAAAGTCAGTTGTGGAAAGTTCGTTTCTACAGTGTTTGAAACTAACTAAAGTAGAATGAAGCAGAATCAGGAAATGTGGTGCCTATGTCCTCTAGCAGCCTAAGCCTATAGCAGCACAGAGCAGCTGAGCCCCTCTAACCATATGCCTTAACAACTATTTTTTTAGAAATTAAATTATACATTTAGAGTTTAGAAATTCTAAGAACTACTAGTACGCCTGCAGATTTAGATTGAGGGCTCTGTCAGAAACATAAAGACCAATAGATCTCTGATATAAAACAGAGCTTGATTATTCAGGGTTTTATACATGAGAATAAGAATTTTAATCTCTGTTTTGGATTTAAGGGGAAGCTAAAGTAGGAGAATAATGATCTCCAACTCAACAGTTATTTCTAAGAGCTCATGTCTAAAAGCACAAGCGGTGTTGGGCGGTTTAACCATGCTTTTGTCTTTTTGGTGAATCTATGCCTCCGGCAGGTATCCTCTATTATGTCTACATGGGAATGCTTGCAGTTTTCTGCACAAACGCCATCAACATCTTAGCAGGCATCAACGGCATCGAGTCGGGTCAAGCCCTGTTTATCTCCGGCTCCATTATCATCTTCAACCTCCTGGAGCTCAGTGGTGGGTCACATTTTTAATGTATAGATTTGCATTAATAAGGAGTATATACAGAACATTGGACCAACTTAACAAATCTCTGTGGCTTTTTCTTTGTTGTTTCTCTATAACAAACAGGGGATTACCGGGATGACCACGTCTTCTCCCTCTACTTCATGATTCCCTTCTTCTTCACCACGTTAGCACTTTTTTACCACAATTGGTGAGTATATAAAAAAGCCTACTGAAGCTTTATAAAACTCCTGCCTTTGCTGTGTTTAACGATGCATATTCAGACCTGCTTTTAAAAAGTGCCCTCCATTTTGACTCAGGTATCCCTCCTCTGTGTTTGTGGGAGACACTTTCTGCTACTTCGCTGGGATGACCTTTGCTGTGGTCGGCATCCTGGGACACTTCAGCAAAACCATGCTGCTGTTCTTCATTCCTCAAGTGGTGAACTTTGTCTACTCGCTACCTCAGCTTTTTCACATCATCCCCTGTCCCAGACACAGGCTCCCCAGGTAAAGTACTTAACATTGTTCTAATCTTGGCTTGCTCAATTTAGAGCTAACAAATTTTTGGGGGCCATGGCTTGTAGGGTTGTCCCAATCTGAAGTTGATATTGGAAATCAGTCTGATATCAGCCAGAAAAATAATACCTGGATATAGCAGCCTGTTTCTAACTTCCCTCATATATCACACTGATAAAGACACTTTGCTTCTGTTTTAAAATTAATGTAACACATTTGGTAATAATAAATATGTCAGTTGTTCTCATACCTATTATTATTATTATTATTATTAATGACTATTGTGCTCTGTTTGAGTAATATTACTTAATAAAGGCCTTTCCTAACATTCCAGATTACAAAATGAGCAATAAAGAATGTATAATTTGTGCTGATATTGTATCAGGTAATGTCAGTATTGTTTCAGAAATTGAAAAGTTGTATGGGACCATCATTAATGGCTTAATTTGAGATGTGATAATTGTTTTTTTGGGATTTAATTTAGAGGTTTGACCTCGTCTTTGCCAGCAACACCATGACTCCTGAATCCAAAGTGGTCTGCTGTCAGATTCCCGAGACAATAGACTGTATAATTTAGCAACAGCTACCAGCGGCTTTAAGGCAGATCTAGTGCCCCTAGTGGCTAAAAGTTACACAGCGTTAAAGACATTCAAATAAAATAATTTTTTTGTATTTTAAAACAGTTTACTCCTGGCAATGAAGCAGCTAAGTCTGTTTTTCCTGTTTGTTTTCTTACTTTTCTTACAGACGGTTGTTTCCTTCTATCATTCATAGACCTAATATGGCCTTGTCTGTGTCCTATGCTTAAGCTATTAAATAATCTCTGTTCATTTGCAAGCAAAAAAATTTATCAACTTTCAATAACAAATAAAAATCAGTCAACAGAATAGGTAACTTTGTGAAGAAATGTTTTTAAAAAGCCTTCAGAAGATGTTGTTTTTGATAGTTCAGAACTGTTTTATAATATCAGAACTTTAGGATCCTTAGAAAGAAAATTCTCCCAGATTTTAACAGGTTTTTTTTTAGGTACTTAACTTTGTATTTTCAAACTGCTCCTCTTTTTTTATTTTTTATTTATTTATGTTTTTAACCTAAGGCTGAATCAAGACACTGGCAAACTGGGGATGAGCTACTCTAAGTTTAAAAAGAAAGACCTATCCCAACCGGGACATCTCATTCTGCAGGTAAAACTCCTTTTCTGCTGCTGTATCCTAAAGCCAGAGATCACAAGATCCAAGACTGTGATTTTCCTCTTTACAGAGAGATAAGTAGCCGTAGTACTGAGAGCAGTGGTTGTTTTCTTAACCATCCAATCAGAGATGGTCTGAAAGCAGCGATGGTAGCACTTAAATGTAATGCATTATTGTCTTTTTCATGGTAAAATGTCAGTATTTGTCAGCACTGTGGTGTCTCAAATGTCCCTTAGCAGACATTCAAGGAAATCTTACAGCATTTCAGAGGTTTTATTCCCCACATGTCGTGACATTTCAGGTGAGTGGCAGTTCTCTCTGATTGTGTTAAAATGCTTTTTATGGCGTTTACAGGTGGCAGAGTTATTAAAGGTGCTGGAGGTGCGTCGAGGACAGGATGGAGATGGAGATTTTATTGAGTGCAACAACATGACTTTAATAAACCTCATACTGAAATTCTTCGGGCCGATCCACGAGAGAAATCTCACAGTCATCATGCTCATGATTCAGGTACGAAGAGCATTTCTAAACTAAAAAGGCTGGCAAAAGTTTTCACTCCGCAATCGACCCTTTTTTTTGTTTTGTTTTTGTTACTTTAATGTATTTAAAGTGATTTGTAACAACAAACTTATAGTATAATAAGTTTTGTTTGGGTTTTTGTAGAGGATTAAAAAGAAAATGGTTATTTGATAATAAAATAGAAATAATTATTAATTCCTTTCATTATATCTTTACCAATGACAACCTGAAAAGTATTTCCTCTTTTGCTGAAAACTTCTTCACTGCAAGTACAACACTGAGTCATTAGAAGTATCTCTCTACCAGTTCGTATAGCTGGACACTGACGTTTTTCCCCGTTCATAAGAAAATAGCTTCATCTCAGACTGGATGCAAGCCTTCCCAAATATTCTAGAAATAGACCAATATGTCACATAGCCGTTATTTTTGGTCAGTGTTAATGTTTTTTTTTTTGTACATGCATGCATGCGTTGGCCAACTTATCAGTTTTTTCCCAAACGATGAGGTGAGCCGCCTAGTGAAGGGGGATATTGTAGAAATGAATTGAGTGAATGACCCAGTTTGGCAGTATTTATTTATAAATAGCAATGTTAATTTCTGTTACACAGTAGAATCAACAGCGAAACTTAAAATAATTGCAGTTTAAAGGTAGCCTGGTGAGCCAGACTGATAACAGTGGGTACGTCATATCAGGTAAAGAGCTGGTAGAGCTTGATTTCACAGGCGGGACTAAAAGGGTCAGTTTCATCTTCTTCTTCTTTTCTATTATACATCTCAAGCAACTTTAAGGTGCATACTGCCACCTACTGTACATTAGTGTGTAAAGACATTACATTTATCAAATTCTATATTGTTTTTATTTTGTATTCTGAAGATAAATAAATAATGCTTTTCTTAATCTGTAAATATCATTTATATTTCCTCCATTTTCCACTATTCCTTTAAGAATCCATTCTTGGCCTGTCCTTCCAACCATTAGGTCAGCATCATCAGGTTAGAACCAATCGGATAACTATGGATGTGATGCAAAAACTCCAAGAAAGGTTTGGTTGCACTCAGCTGCCATGCGTTGAGATCAGGGATGGGCATGCATTACTGCTTTCTTAATTTTCTTTCTGTTGTTAATGTTTGTTTTAATGTGTTACTATTTTGTTTTTTTAATTGAGACTTTGTTATCATTGTGTCATTTTAATCATGTAATTTGGATCATATGTCAGGGATCAGTTTGACTGATGTCAAAATAATCCGTATCAGCATCGGCCTTAAAACTTTAATTCGATCTTTTAGTCCATACCTAAGAAAATCCTACCATGACATCTCCTACCACCTTTATATGATAAAAGATTTAAAACCCTTTGGTTCACCTGTACCGTTGTGTAGGGGTCGATCACATAAAATCCCAATCAAATCCCATAAAGTTTGTGTTTTTAACAAGACAAAATGTGGAAGGCGCTGTAGCTGGAAGATTAAAAACCTTTAAATTCTGTCTCTCCTGCAGGTTATGGGCAGCGCAGTGGCATTTGGGATTCGTTATCATCTGGTGCGTCTCTTCTATGATGTCTAGACCCCTGTATTAAAGCCCAGGATATCTCACGTCAATGCGGAAATAACTGACAGGCTTGTGTCTGTCATTTTTCCTCCTGATGGAAAGCCAAGACCGCTTAGTTGGAACGTTTACTTCAAGCATCTCGGCAGCAGGACTGAATCCAAGAAGGAAATAAAACATATTGCTTAATTTATTGCAAAATCCTAAAAGTATATATTTTTACTTTTTTTTTTTTTTTTTTGAAGGGTGCCACCTATCTTCAGTGAAACATGTGACCAATTAATACCATTTGAAAGCATTTTATTTGCTTTACATTATGGTGAACCCTTGCATAAAATTGCTGTTGATATAAACAGAAAGGGAGGAACTCTTCACCTTCTGTTATAAATGAAAACCCATAAATTATAAGTTGGGTTTTAATCCTTTTTTTTTTGTTTGTACTCTTTCCTGTTTTGCTCTGAATGATATATGACTGACTGCTGTGAAGAAATGCAGTTATATATGAATAGGCTCCAGTTTTGAGGGTTATAATAGAATGTTGAATGGTCAATGATAAACAGGCTTATTAGAAAGGATCAACTTTAAGGAAAGGTTGTGAACTTGGCTGGCATCTGGATTCTTCTCTAAGAATGTAATAAAAACTGAGGCACTGTTTGTTTTGTTTTTTTTTTTGGGAGGGGGGGGGTGGGGGATTAAATGAAAAAGAAAATCAGAAATAAAGAATAATGAGTGTAAATTTACAGGTGGGCTTGAATTATTACCTAGAATACATTTATTTTATACATGCAAGAGTTGCTGCAATGCTACAACAAAAATACTCAGTTAAAGCTGCAGATGGTCACTAATGTTTGGACTGCTCCCCTAATACTGGGTAACAGCAGGTCATTACAACTGAAACAAAATGTTTAAATGTAACACCCTTCCGTATGCAACCAGGGTTGGAACCTGTGTACTCAGAGTTACAGTCAGGGACTTGAAACATGGAGTAATCAAATAATGAACCTATCTTTGTGCTGAAGCATGCCCATTGATGAATCAAAGCACCCCAAAAACCTGAGTTCTTTTTTTATATAGTGTATATGCTTTTAAAATGAAAAATAAAAACAAGCAAAACTAAAACAGACTAAAAAGATGTAAAAAAAATCTGCAGTATTTGGTTTAAAAAGTATGTTCTTAGATGACTGTTTGTAGGATTAGCTGACTGAATGACCATTAGAATAAATCCTGCTGTGGGTGTGTGGACAATATCAGATTGCAGAGTGGCAGCCGGTGGTTAAGGCATTGATCTTGGAATCCTGAGGTTTTGAGTTTGAGCCCCTCTGCCACTCTGGGTCTCTGAGCAAGACCCTTAACCCCCATACTGCTCCCTGGGCGCTGCACAATGGCAGCCCACTGCTACCTAAAGGGATGGGTTAAATGCAGAGGTAAATTCCTCCAATGTGAGATCAATAAAGTTCAACTATTATTATTATTATTTTTTTTTAAGCCAGATTTAGGTGGGACTAGCTTAAATCAATGTTCAAGTATCTCAATAAATCTGTGACATTGTTGGGTTATCTACCTCGAGCAGCAGAGAGATGACAATCATTACATACATTTTGAATTGGGGTTTAACAATAATATCAATAATAAAAACAAGTAAACAAGAATGATGGGGCTCTAAACTAAAATATTGAGCTACACTTTGAGGGAATCACTGCAATCAGGTGTTTTCTGAAATGTCCAGTGAGATTATTGCACCTTTTGATGATTTGTTGATGAAATGTTTGTGAGCAAGTTGCTCTAATGTGTCCGGAATTGAATGGTTTGTTCTTTTTATTATATATAAATATATTTTTTTTTTTTTTTTTTTATTCAAAATCAATATTTGATCTATTAAATCACAAGTTAAAATCGTTTGTATTGATCTTCTGCTTCTTCTTATTTGAATTGTTTTGAATTAAAGCTTTTAAACGTTCCAGCACAACTATATTAACAATCCATTTTATAATTAGCGGACTGAGGGAGGGGAAGGTGTGTACAAAGTGACCGGTCAGGAAAAAAACAGGTAAGAAAACAAACATTATTAAAAATATATATTTTAAAATATTTAATGCTAACCTTAAACCAAGGAGAAAAAAAAACAATCTAACCTAAACTAAAAGATAAGGACCGAGAGGGTTAAAACCGATCACAAGTCTCATTAAGTAGCCGGAAATAATTAACTAATCGTTGTTTCTGCCGGACCTTATTTTTGCAACTTGTATTTCCGGTGAAAGACCGGAAATAAGGTTCAGTCGTTAGAGCTCCGCGGGAAAGTCCAGTTAAAAAACCTAACTTTGACACTCCGTTGATGCAGTTTATAGTAAAATAAAACAGAACATCTAACAGACCGTTATTGAACGTTTTATAGAAACTCGTGTGATGTGTCCTTAATGGAGTCAGTGCTGCTGAATGTCTCAAAGGTTTGTTTTGAACTTAGCCCTCTGTGACAGCTAGCTTCATGTAAATGCTGCTCAGGTAGTGAGATAAACAGCAGCTCCGCCTTAGAGAGCCATGCCTCCCGGTAAACGCATCCGAAAGAAAACCCTTAAACTTGAGTGTGAGTGGGCTTCATGTGGAGAAACGTTCAGTCAGATGGAAAATTTCTGTAAGCATGCTGAAGCTCATCTCACTGAGGAAGAGGAGGAAGGAGAGGGTAAGTTCAGATCAAGGAGGTCCGTCTCAATAACCGGGTGATGATCAGTAATTCAGCTCTGTTTGGTTGTCCAGATGAGAGAAACTGTCTGTGGAAAGACTGTGGGTTTTGCTCGGTGGACGGCCTCGAAGAGCTGCGACGCCACCTCCTGTTCCACTGCTACCACACCAAGCTGAAACAGTTGGGTCAACAGATCCTGGACGCCCAACCAGAACTTGGTAGCTGCTCCATAGGCAACCACAGCCGCAACATCATCCCAGAAATCCCTGACAATTTTGTCTGCCTGTGGGAAGAATGTGAGGTAGGGTCCACATTTGATTTTTTTCCCAGCGGAATGGTTGGGTAATGTTTTATCAACACAGCTGATTGGACTTTCTCCTTCAGTCCTTGATATAATTATAATAAATTGTTCAACATCTGCGTCAATAGAGCGGCCAACATGGACCAGTAACCCTGTACCAATAACACAATGCAAAATATATGTGTGATTAATAAATTATGAAATATGCTGGAACAGAAACAACAACTGAAGGTTAATTGCTTGGACCAGTTTTATGTTTAGAATTTTATTTTATAAATTATTTGAAAATTCAGCTTGTTTTGCTTTTCACTTAATTATTGTGGTAGGAAAACCATTTTCTTTTTATAGATCTGAGGTTTCATGAGCTGCAAAAGACTCTTTGGCTCACTTAATGTATAAAGGGATGAACTTTTTCCCAATTTTTGTTTCATTCGTTTTTTTTCTATGTCCCCATGAAAAAACACCTGTCCCCTGGTATATTTGGTTTAAAAGCTTCACTTCCCTTCACCAAGTGCAAATTATAAATTGCTTTAGACCGTCTATGTTCTGTTTATTTAAGATGATTTGTTTTATATTTAGCTTTTTATTTCATTTTAAGGTTACAGATCTTAAAATTAATTTAAATGTTTAGCCGTAGTTAAACTGAGGTAGTATGAACAATTGTTTTCATAGGAATATTACTAAAATAAACCTATGAAGGGGTAAATGTTCCTGCTCTGGAAGAGGTTTTAACGTAACTTAATTTATTACAGAAATATGTGCCCTTATGAATTGGGCCCATTTTAACTGATATCCAATCTAGAATGTTCCTCTATTTCGGGACCAACACAGATTACTAACGGCTCAGTGCATCTACGTTCGGCACAGTGACGTTTAATCCAGAGGTGTCCCAATCCAACTCCATTTCAATATTGCAGCTTTGACTTGCGGCTGCATCAGTGCATCTTTGATCTTCAGAATTTCCTTTTAGAAACGGATGTAAATATACAAAAAACAAGTGGATATTGATTGTTTTCAAATATAGGAATGAAAATTAATATGCAGAGCCAATCCTTTTTCTGTAACTGTTGGTTACAAAAAAAGTAAAAGACATGGTCAAAAAGAGTTCAATGAACATCCACAAAAAATAAAATTACTTTAAATAATAATAAAAAAAAATCAGGTTGTTTCTATTTTAGAGACCAACTGTTGCCACTTCATTGGAGCACCAAATTTGACATAGTGCCATTATTGCTTTAGCCCATAATAAAATATCTTTAGAACTTTACCCAGATTTTAGAAATGGCTAAACAAGTCTAGTCATCAACAGATATATCAGCACAGATGTTAGAGGGCAGTGGGGGAGCAAGAGGATGTTCAAAATATTGTTTTAACAATTAAAATTGATTAGTCTGTACTTAAAACACTTTATAAAACCAGTGACCCACTGGTTGCAGAACAAACCCATACCTCCTGAGCCATGAGATTACAAAATCTCCTTCTTCTTGCAGAAAATCATCTTCCTCTCTTACTTGCTTGCAATAACTGCACTCTGTTAAATTTGGGGTTATTTTCAAATAAGGGACCGGGTCCAATGTACGAAAATGAAAAAATAGGCTTTTTTAAAGATGCGGCGGCCCAAAATATTTCAGTCTTGGTAATAAAGGCTTCGTCAGTAGAACAATGAAGCTCTTAGCGGTGTGTGAAAGCTCAGCCATCCAACACACACACATCTGAGGACGCACAGCTGTTTCTGTCTAACTTTTTTATTTTTTTGTGATCTAACCAGGACCTGAAGTTAACTTTTTTTAGCCGCCAGCTGCTGTGGCAGGTGGATTGTGTATTTCACAGTTTATTAGCCACTTCTTTTCTGTTTTCTGTTATCCATTTCCAAAGGCGAAATGAAAATCATTGCTTTTTTTTAATCAAATAGATTGCTGGTATTAAAAACATTTTTTTTTAAGCTGTTACCTAAATAACATGACTGTGTGGATATGGAACAAAGTGGTACTCAGCCCCTACTTTGAGTATTAAACTGGTATGATATCAGAATGATTTAGAGAATCTTTTACTGATTTTGTAGTTTAAAAAGTTAGAAAAGGCTAAACGCATCAAATATTGTTCATATAAGAACAACTGATCAGTTTATATTATAGGTATATTCAGGCAATAAGTTACAGCAGTTCTTAAAAAGTCAAATTGATTCTATCATCTTGTTTATATTTAGATGCAGACTAATGTGTTCCAATATTTGTTTTTTGATAATATCAGATCAGGCCAGCCCTGTTTTTGAGGAAAGTCGGGTCTCAATGACAAAATCTTTTCAACCCAGTGTGTAATCAGTCTTGGATTGTTGAACTTCATCCCTTATGATATTTTATTTCTTTTTCCCCACATTTGTCACAGCAAGCTCCGTTTGAAAACCCAGAGTGGTTTTACCGCCACGTTGAAATGCACACCCTCTCCATAGAAATCCCCACAGGTGAATGGGAGTTCCCCATACGCTGTGGGTGGAAAGGTATTTCATCCCATATGTTTCAAGAGCACGACCACAGAGTTTATCATTTCTCACCTGCATTTTGTTGTGATGTTTTTTCCAGATTGCGAGGCTACCACTAAAGGACGCCCTAAGCTGCGGGAGCACCTACGCAGCCACACGCAGGAGAAGGTGGTGGCGTGTCCAGGCTGCGGGGGGATGTACGCCAACAACACAAAGTTCTTCGACCACATAATTCGACAGAATGCCATGGAAGGTGAGGCTGTGTAGACTAGTGACAGTTATTTAAAACAAGCTCAAAGTCTAGTCGTGTCTAATTGCTGCTGGGTGCGTCCGTGTGTCTCCTGCAGGTCAGAGGTTCCAGTGCTCTCACTGCTCCAAACGCTTCGCAACAGAACGGCTCCTTAGAGACCACATGAGGACCCACGGTCAGTTTCGAGGCAGTACATGTTCATCTGAATATGTTTTAATGCACATCTAAAAGCTATTTTGTTTCATATCTGGTCCCAGTGAGCCACTATAAATGCCCCCTTTGCGACATGACGTGCCCTTCGCCCTCTTCACTTCGCAGCCACATCAAGTTCCGTCACAGCAACGAGAAACCATACAGCTGCGAGTATTGCGAATACAGGTACTCTATGCTCTGTAGCTACTGTTATTCTGAAATCATGCTCATAAACTGGTCCTAAAGTTTACTGCTGTTTGTATTTTTTTATTTTTAGCTGTAAGAATCAGATCGACCTGCGTAAACACCTGGAGACCCACAGCAGCGACCCGGCGTACCGCTGCGACGTTCCCGGATGTAGCTTCAGTTGTCGAACGCTCAGCACCATGAAGATTCACCACCAGAAGGAGCATGAGGTGATGCCTGCAAGGCTTAGAGCAGGTTTAATGCTTCTGTCACAATGAAGTTTAACCAAATCTGTTGTCTTGTTTTTTCTTTTACACATTTTTAGGGAACTTTTGTTGCTCGCTACAAATGTCACGTGTGTGGCCAGTGTTTCACCAGAGGCAACAGCCTCACTGTCCATCTCCACAAAAAGCATCAGTTCAAATGGCCCTCAGGACACCCCAGGTTCAGGTTAGTGTCCTGTTCAATTAGAGAAATAAGCGCTGAAAAATATTTGAACCCCTTAAGTTTTATGACATGCTGGTTTGTTTCAGCCAAAAAATAGTTGATAAGCGTTTAAAATAAACTTTCCTGCTTTGTGCAATAAAGGACAAATATTTTTGAAAAAAGTGTAAACCGAGTCAGATCTGATAGAAACGATCTGATTGGATTTAAGTTTGTGATTGGACTGGGGCTGGGCAATGTGAATAAAATCTAATATCACAATATATTTCAGCTGTAGTCGGCAATGGTTTTGCAGCACATCTTACAAATTAGCACCTTGTGTTCGACATCTTCGGCGTGAAATCTTAAACACTGAGATATATTGCTCAGCTGGAACACCTGCTGTCATTATATTTCGCCGGTTGCTGTAGTGTACGTACCGTGCAGAAAATAATCCTGTTTGGAGGAGGGGTTTATAATGCATTCAAAGTGTGTGGGGAAAAATAAAACTCAGTGAAATAGATGCTGGCGGCTTAATGTTATTTGAATTTGTACTCGAGTTAATTTAATAAGTAATTGTAACTATTGTGCTTGGGGAACCTAGAGATACGTTAACTATATTCGATATATCGCCCACCCCTAGATTGGACTGGGCTGTTCTAACACAGCTGTATTGCAGGTCTGGCTCTTTGTTTACTGGAGGTTAGCCTCCACCCACTCCTAATGACCTTTACCGTCCATAGCAAGGTTTTTAAAAGATTGCAACCTTTTTGTTTTCTGCCGCTTCCCACAACATGATGCTGCCAATGCCATGCTAAACACAGGGGTTGCTGTGTTCAAGTTGAGGAGCAGTGTTGGCTTTAGGCCCATAGGGTCTGATCTTCAAAAAGTCCAAACAACAGGGGTAGAAATGAAAAGGTATGTCTAATAACGGCATTTTGTGGGTGATGCGAAAAAAGAAAAATACATAAATACATTATAGCCTTAATTGTATCTTTTTTTATTTTTTTTATTCAGAGAGACTAATTGTGCTTTGTCTAAGGATAATGATGAAAATTAGCCTTTTGACTAATACTGGCATGTTTACATAATTTTAATTAAAGTGCATTGTCCCCAACGAATAAATCCTGAATTTGTGAAGAGGTTAACCAATAGTGTGACGGTACGTGCTACCACCCCACCTGAGCTGTGAACCTCTGATGCTCCTCCTAGGTTACTATAGCACTCCTGCCATCTTGTTGTATCTCTTTAACCTTTTCAGGTTGAATGGACAGCTTGTTGTTGGGTTTCAGGTTGTATTCCTTAGATTTCCTGATGATGGATTCAACTGTGTTTAAGAAAAAGCTTCTGAAAGTCTTTAATTCACCTCAGCCTAAAAAAAAAAAATAAACAAAATTTCATAGCTGCAATAATTACTTTGATCTTCTTCCTTCAACCTGTCAGGTACAAAGAGCATGAGGACGGCTTCATGAGACTGCAGCTGATTCGCTACGAGAGCGTGGAGCTGACTGAGCAGTTGATGAGAGAGAAGCAGAAGAGGCCCGAGGAGGACGACAATGAGGACAGTTGTGATGCTGAGGGTCAGGAGCTGGAGGAGGAGGACCCTGCTGCAGCTCTTGCTGCTTCGCAGGTGCAGGTACAACTTAGAGGGCTGTTGGTGGAGGAGCAGAGGACAGAGGAACCAACCATCACAACTGGAGAGGCTGCTCGGGTAGAAGACGTGCTGTACGTCCTAACAGGAGGGGAGGACTCGGTCATACTGCAGCTTCAGGGTGCTGCTGCACAGCAACAAGAAATGCAGGTGGATTGACTCGACACAGAATGCATCAGTGATGGCGTTTCCCACATTCTTTGAGACTGTAGATAATCCTTAACCCTCATGGACATCTGATGCTGATTGATGCTGCCTCTAAAATGTGGCCTTTTTATTTATTCAGTGGAATGCTCCGACAAATCAGCCGCAAATTTTACAGTTATATGACTAAAGACAAAAATAAACTCAGCAGTTTCTTGTTTGACTTGTTCCTGAAATAAATTAAAAACTGTTTCAAACTTTTATTTTGTTTCTTTCTAATTTAATTGCAAAAAGTCTGTGACATAAAAGGAGTGTCTGTTAATTATTTAGACCTGGGTTGATGTTTATGGGTTGTAAACCTGGACCTGCAACGTATAATCAGGTAAAGGTAAGAAGACCTTTTTACTAATTATTGATGCTTGAATACTCAATCTACTTACATTTTATGAAGTTTCACTGCAAAAATGAATCTAAAAATATTTAGATAAATGTTTTTGTCCTTAATTTGAGCAGGAAAATATGACCTGCCAATTTCATGAGTATTTTTGCCCTTAAAATAATATATTATGCACTTGAAATAAAATATTGGAGTTTTTCTTATTTTAAACATAAATCATCCTATTGCCTTAGAAAACTCTCTTGCCTCCTTAAATCAAGGAAAAATACCCTGATTTAAAGGGAAATTTACTTCGTTTTCAGCTTAATTAGAGTATGGTGACTCAGCAATCGGAGTCTACAGTAAAAACTGAGTATTTAATTGAACCATCCTATCATTTATTGCACTGCAATCTTTTCACTATCAGTAGAAACTGCAGCTTTTAAATAAGTTGGGAATGAAATGCAGGTAAAAATGTTATGTAAACCATTATGGCTATATCTAATTTTTTATATTTGCCCTAATTATTTAAGTGCAGTGATTGAATATTCAATTATTTACTATTTAATTTAATAATACCCAATTATTTATTTACAATTATTACTACAATGAGATAAATTTATCTGGACTACTTTTGTTGAATACAGTTAATTCTGTGAACCGTTTCGTCTGTTTCTTTCACAGATTTTTACATTTTATGCTTAAGAATGTGTTTATCCATGGTTTTGAACCAATCGCACCTTGAATTTTGTTATAAGAACTAAATAAAAACGGTCTCAGTAAACCAAAAGCACACAGAATAAAAAAAAAAAAACAATAAGCTGTCCTGCTTATTGTGTCTCCCTCTGGCTTGTTGGCTAGTTACTCAAAATGGTATCATGAATCATTATGCACATTATGATATCAGAAAGACCTATTTGCAGAATATGAAATTAACATTTAGGAAAAATTAGAAACACTTGACACACGGATATCCTGAGTGGTGGGATCATGTGCCGAGTGCTTCCTGTCCAGTGCTTTGCAGACTATATGCAAAGCACTGGAGCACTTTACTCTATTTACATCCTCAACAATAATAAAGTTTTGTTTGCACAAATTCATAGTCTCCATGCATGTAATGTATGAAAGAGAGACAAATCCGAATGGTTGGTAATTTAGGAGGCTGTGTGAAAGGACCCCTTATACAGCCTCTGTCTCTCTGGACCTTCTAAAGTGGCTAAAATAATAGAGAACCAAAAAAGTTTTTGTTTTATACAGATATAACAGATAATGCTGATTTTAACTGATTTCTTTTCATTAAATCCGTTTTCTGAATTTCTGCATGAGAATGACCCTAAAGTAGTGGGGGTGCACATGATCACCGATCTTTAAACACTCTGACATGCTGACGCTGATTGGGGGAGTATCAATTTATAACAAAAACCTTTGTTTCAATCTTATTTTGTGGAGGGAAATTAAAATGCCAGTTAAACAATTACTTTTTTTTTTACTGGTAATGAAGTGGTACTGTTAGATAAAAATGAAAAGCTTGGAGCACTAACATTGGCTGATTTTCAAACCTTAGATTGGTTTTACATCCAAGTATCAGAAGATCATAGATCTCCAAATATTTAGTAAATATGGGCCAAATGATGGGCCAGCCAATACGTCGGTTTGAAACAATTTCCTTTGTTACACATTTTCTACAAATAACATCACATAGAAGAGCAAATATAATCCTCTTTTGCAATAAATGTTTTCTTTTGTTTTATTTTAATCTAAAAAAAGAAAAAAATTGGTAGTTCTTATTACAAAAAATGATGTCCTCTATTCAGAAACTTGCAACATTTATGCCCTTTGCATCGTGACAGTTTTAGTTCCTTCTTTTTGACAAATCACATTTTTATTTGAAATGAAAAAATTAGGTGGGGTTGTTAGATGTTATCCCTCACAGTAAACCATCAACAATTCCTTTGTTTTAAAATGTAGCCCCCAATTAAACCTGCACCAGATGAGTTGGAGAAAACCGCCTGCAGGTCTCCAGGTCCAGTCACAGGACTATAAAGGACACAGCATTAGCCGTGTGTAGAAGATTAGGAACCACACAGAGCCTGGCTTATGTCCTAACGTCACTGCTTCACAGCTCTACTTTCACAGCCTTTACCTTTCTGCTTGTTTTTAGAAGACATTAAGTAATTTCACCAGCCAGTTACGAAATGCATCTGCAAGCTTTCTGGGGCCAGTAATGGAATTAGAAAATGGGCTCCATGTTGTTAAATGTGCTTTTGTTTTTCTTGTTTTGGTCCTTTAATAATGGGATTTCTCAGACGCCTGAGTGGAATGGAGAGCTGGAAGTTAGCGGTAAGATTCCCCGCCATTTATGTTGCTTCTAAATCAAGGAAAGATATCATTAATGTTCTAACCTCCAAGAAATGTTATTAGCAGGAGTAACTCTTATGGATCTCTTGTTTTTAAAACAAAAACAACAAAAAACCCAGTCCACATGATGCTGTTGCCCCTGTACTTCACAGCTGAGGTACATCCTCTCAGAATAACATTTTCCACCTCTATCTTTCCTAAAGTAAGGGAAAAGTTTGGCAAAAATGTTTATTAGACCCATGGTATGAAAGCCCATTGCTGCTACTTGAAAGTAAACAAAATTCACATGGTTTGTCATAATGTTTAAATGAATAATTTTGAAATAAAAAGTCAAAGTCATAAGGAGTTAAATATCATGCATAACTTGAAATTATGACTCATTATCTAATTATTATGAATTTGAAAGTCTTAATTATGACTTTAAATATAATTATGACATACCATGTCATTTTATTTCACTTTCATGTGTCAAAATTTGCCCTAGTATGGAGATTTCTCTAAAAATTAAGTTTCTATGGAGCTCAATTGGGGCCATGAATGTTCCTCTAACATGTTTTTTTTTTTTTAGAATGAATAGAAATAATTTGAAACCAAAAAATTCTTTTGAACCTAAGAATAAAAAAAAATGTGAAACTTAAAAGTATTTCTGAAGCTGAAAAGAAATGTTCGAAAATACTTTTCAATTTCAAGTTTAGGGGGAGTCTGGTTTGTTGTTTTTTTTTGTTGTTGTTTTTTTTTGTTGTTTTTTTTTTTCAGCCTGAACAAAACTAAACAGTCAGTGCTGCATTTAGGAACCATAGGAAATAGAAACGTCTTTCAAACCTTGATATTCTATATTTACATAATCAATAAAACGCTTCCCTGATCTGAGCTTATACTGTTATAACCCCGCAGGTGCTGCAGTCAGTCTCATGGTTCTACCACTTTAGTTTGAGAGTACAGGAAAAGTCCTACCCGAAATTAAAATGCAGAGCAAATTTATCAATATAATTACTCTAATGAGATGTGTGTAATGTGCTGGAATAAAATACATGTTAGTGAAGCATGCAATTATGTTAAAGATTATCATCAGTATTTTTATTTGGGTCGAGCCAATAGGAATGCTACTGCTTCAGTAACCTTACTTGCTGGGCTATGTGAAAAGACTATAGGAAACATGGATGTTTTGATACCCACAGCCTAAACTAACAGTAAACATCTAGAATCTGAAGGCTCCAGCATCCACAAACATCAGGTGCTTTCATAACTAGATTGCTAATAGATACAACATATGCATGCTAAAGCCAGGGGGAGCCAAGACCCAGGGTCAGATAGAGGCACTAACAACAGCCCAGAGAGTTGGTACCAAGTCCTGATAATGCAAGAACAACCGAATGTGAGAACAACTGAACTGAGAAATAGGATTATGGCCTGTCAATCCCAACACCAGCTAGGGAAGTCAAGCCAAGTGCATCCAGAGGATCTACTAGATGGTGTCCATACAAGGTACAGGGACTAGGTACAATCCCCACTGTGACCATCACAGAAACCAATGAGCTGATTTACGGTACAACATTGCTGATGCAGTGGCTGAAACGTCCAATCCCCACCAATGGCTAGAAAGGGCTGGACTTCAGCACAGCACAGGGACAGGCCTTGAGCACCAGAGCAATAGAGGCTATGAAAAGAGGCCCTAGCATCTCACAGCAGGGTGGAAGATACTGGCAGAAAAGGAATACATGGAACGTCAAAACCAAGTGGCTGGTATAGTGTACAGAAATATCTGTGCAGAATACCAACTGGAGACCTCCAGGTCAGAATGGAAGCAGCTTCCCAAGGTGTTGGAGAACGACAGTGCTAAGATCCTTTGGGACTTCCAGTTACAAACAAAATGGTTTTGGCCAACCAACCTGACACTTTGATCTAAAGAGAGCCTGAAAGGTAAAGGCAATGGGCTATATGCCCAAATCCACTATTTTTTAAACTTCGGCCAGCTGTTTTGTTTCCTTTTTTCACCACCAGACTTACTGATTAATCCAGGTGTGTCTGGCTGTTCTTATCATGGTTACTGAGGTCACACACACCTGGATCAATCGGTTTGTCCAGAAATAAAAGACAGAAAACCAAGGAGCTGGCTCAGGAGGTAGCGACGTTGGCCATATAGCCGACTGTAGTGCCCCAAGTCGTCGGAGCATTTCGGGCAGTAACTCCCAGTGGCTCCAACAGACACCTGGAGAAACATCAGACATCTCAGCCCAAAAAAGCGCAGTGCTAGGAACAGATAAGAGACTATGAAAAGACATCAAGCTCCCAGGCCTCTACTAGAGGACCCAAGCTTGAGATTGAGAAGCCACGCACCTCACCCAGGAGTACAACAGGCCATAAATATCAACTTCTATGTCTAAATAAATATAAACTGTTTTTGCTGCAGGTGAGACAGAATGGATTCCCCAACCAGAGCTCATCGATGACACCTATTGGTCTGGGTCAGCACCCTTTTGTTTAGGAGGGTGTAAGGCCCGTCACCAGGAGCTAAGGAAAGATCCCTGTGGAAACTCTAGTTGCTGCTGGCTCGGCTACAAGTCCCTCTGCAGAGGTCAGACAAGACTTACAAGTGTTTTTGGAGTCTGATTTGTTACTGTAGGAGAGCTCATTGTCTTGATTTGCATTTTTATCATGTGTTAGTGAATTGTGGGAGGCCTGATGTGGACTATAACGGATGGGTCTACGGTAATGACTGGTGGGTTGGTTCTGTGGTGAGGTACACATGTCGAGCTGGCTTCCTGCTCGTGGGAAGTCCCACCCGTTCATGCCAGTCCAACGGCCGCTGGACCCCAAAACCCACTTGCCTCAGTGAGTAACCAGAAAGTCTTTATGTGTCGTTGGGAACATTTTAGCAGTTCCTACCTTTCTGCCTGTCAGGGATGTGCCAACGAGGAAGCATTGAAGTCAGGGAGAGCGAACTAAATGGCACATGTGACTCCACCTGTGAGAATAAGAGCTACTTTGGTCCAACCAAACTGGGCTGCTCGCTGATAAACAACTGTAAGAAGAAGGAGACTGGCTGGAAGAGGTTCTTTGCGCAGTGTGTCCCTTGTATTTGTGACTGCGCCTTAACCTGTGGTGAGGAGCTTTTGACGTAATCAGTTTTCTCTGCATAAATAGACTTTAATGTGATTCATTATTGTTTTGATTAACATTTCTGCTCTTTTATGGATTTTTTTTTAGCAACCGCCGGCTGATGATGACCTAAGAAGCTGAAACACCTGCCACCAGTTCCACGGACAAGTCAATAACATAAAATCTAAATGTTAAATCTAAACAAGATGTATTTGTTTCTTTTTGTATAGTTTAGCATTTTCCCTTTGACTGGGACATAGATAGGTTGATACCTCAGGTTTGAAACAAGACGACATATTTGTTAGTAAAGGAGACGAAGGAAAGGAAACTGAAGGGAAACCACAGAGATAAGGCTCTGAGCTCAACTGCTTCTCCTTTAAGCCCATCTGTTCAGCAAGGAGTAAAAACTCTAATCTTGTTACAAATGGTAGATCTGCAGTTAGATTCCTGTTGTGAAGGCTGTAAAAAAAAGCTTCAGATGGTCACCACAATATTTATGGTTTTTAATCTTTTATTGCAGAAAAAACTTCCCAGTATTTGTAGATATATCTATATTTGCATATAGATTGATTTATAGATGTTTTGTCCCAAAATCATGTGTCACAGATGACAATCTTGTATTTATGTATAACATCAATTACTTCAGACCTATTTCAAATCTTTTCATTTTTACATATATTTTTTCAAACCACTTAGGTGTAGTTTCTGAAATGTTTAGATTAAATAATTTCTGTACCTTTCAACTGTGACATTTCTGTTACAAACCACTAGGTGTAGCTGTTTATTCAATGTCTTATCATTGCATAACTAACACTAATATCTAAACACAGACATGATGAATAATTAATGATAGAAATTAAATACAAAGCATGAATATTTTTCAATATATGCATTCCAGAAGAGGCTACTGCAGATTACTCTTGTTTTCTGGAGCTCCAGGTGCTGAACCTCAGGATGATGTGCTCATCTGCTTTAGGAGCGTAGCAGCCGATTCCTGTAAAACAAACAAAAAACTGAGCTGTTTTGGTTAAACCCTGACATAGTCTGTGTTCTTTTTACACCTACAGCAACCAATGAGAGGCTTTTTATTTCAATAACACAATATTAAAACTATTTTACTTTACAATTTGGAATAATTGCTTTGCATGGTGTAATTAAAGGTGTGGGAAAGGCCAAGCTATTCTCCTGCTTCATTAAAGCTCATTAGGTCCCCCTCAGATCTGCTACCACTAAATCTCGTGGGAAGATACTTACCCACATCCAGTCTGGTGTACTCTCCAGAGTTTTCAGACAGGATCTCCCAATAGGTCTGCTTGTGCTCATCTCCAGCCACTCCGTTCACACTCTGTAGGAACACACCAAAGTCTGGATGATCCTTCACTGTGAACCTGATAACACAAGGAATGAGATCTTCAACCTTTTAGCAAAAGCCCCGTGGCAGCAAGAAGAAAGGATGACATGTAAAGGGGTTTAATCTAAGTTCTTACTTGAAGTCTGGTTGGGCTTCTTGCAGTCTCCTCAGAGCTCCGAGCAGCACGCCTCCCTCCGCCACAGAGCTGGAAAAGGACTCTGGAGCCATGTTGAAGAGGTCGTTCTCCACAGTCAGCCTGATTGGAATAGAGATGGGACCTGCACACAAATTCACAATATGCACCAAACTAGACATGACTACATAGAGGAAACACCACCTAACCAACATACCTGTGTTTGTCATCCCTTCACGCGTGAGCAGCAGCAGAAGGAAGCCCACAGAAAGCAGAGCTGCAGGTCGTTCAGCCATCCTGGTATCCTGGTTGATGCTTCTTTTCAGAGCTGCACCTCAGTAGGCCTACTTATAGAAAGCCAAACCCTTCTTTATCACTAATGAAATCTCACCCCCCTCCTGCTGTTCCTTTACAATATCATTTTTGTTCTCATTTCAAATGCCCACAAGTGACAGCATGAAATAAAAACAATGCCAGCGTTGTTATCTCAACATAGCTGAGTGTCAGTTACTGATAACGGGAACATGATGAAAAAAAATGTTAATGATTAATTATCGTTTGATTAATAATCTGCAATGGGATGTTTTCACACAAAGTTCCAAGAATAAGAAGGAAGGTTGGGTTTCAGATAATCAGATAACCTCTGTAGAGAAGGTGATAGATGCTTTTGTGGTCTATGTGCTTTTTTATGTTTTAACAATTTTCTTTAAAAAACAATCAGTACTTATTATTTAACACATTTCTGGAGCTTAACAAAAACAAAAAAAAACAAACAAAAAACAATCTTCTCTTTGCTACAAATATACTTTTTCTGTTGTATGAAACCTGAAAAAATCTATTGGGGAAAAAAATCTGGATTCATTAGGGGGAAATATTCCAATCAGTGCTTTGCAAAGGTTTTCATTCCTATGAAATAGTTTTTTGTTCTGTATAAAGCACTGTATAAGTTGGACATACTGAAAAATTAGATGTGGACTTATTAGGTTTGGCAGATCTTTATATTTGTTTCCTTTTGCTCTGTGAAACAAACCCATAAAACCTCTCAGAAAATTATGCAAAATGCTTTCTTTGACTAAAAAAGTTCCTCTGTCCTTAATAAAAATACCGTACTGACATGGAAGCATCAACTTGTGAGGATTTTCTTTTCAGCAGTGACATCAAAGCTGGTTAGCGCTGATCCACAGATAGATGAGATAAACAGAGAAAATTCCTGGAAGAAAACCTGAGTGATGCTGTGGAGGAGGTTCAGCTTCCAGCAGGGGTTTGTTTAGATCAGAGGATATTCTGTCCTTCCAATGACCCAGTCAATGTGCCACTCTACAGTTTGTTCATCATCTTTATGCTTGACAGGTTGATGGAGGTAGCAGGCTAAGCAGAGATGTCCAAATGCCAGACACCCCCTCAGATGACTGTTTTCAATGTGGCGAAGCAGGGGCTCTCCTCTAAGCCTGCCCCAGATGACCAGGTCCTCACCCTCTTTCTAAGAGAGTATGAGACTCATTTATGTAGTCAAAATTAATGACAGAATTGGTGGCAAGGCTGAAAGAAAATGATTTTTGTAGATGAGCTTCATCTAACCTAATTTTGAGCTCATCTGAAATAAGAATGTTCTAAACCTCAATTCTCTAGATGTTTTAAGTTAGTAGACGGATGCCCCAAAATAACTTTTTATTACAGTGAAGCATGAGGTTGAATACAAATGGCTTCCACATTTCCGTATTTGTAAAAAGAGAAGAAAAACAAATGAATTTTAAGCTTCCTTTTTGTGTTTTGATAAAATGCGGTATACGCTCCCTGGGTCGGGGACTCCTTTCATATGGGCAGCTCTAGACGGGGGGCCAGTGCCCCTGTTGTTATGGCACCTGTTATGACCCCTGTACCTAAGATGTAATAATGCTAAATATATTTTGATTATAATGATACGTACTGGTACAGCACTGTAAATTATTGTTCTCTTGTACTTTTACAGTTCTACTTAAACCATGATTTTATCAGTTTTACTTGCATTACGAAAAATGAATTACGGTAAATATGATTACTTTCAATGTTTACTATTCTTGAATCATGACTGTGTAATATAATATTTCAAATAACATCTATTGTATCTTTAATCTTTATTTTAATCTTTATTCTAAAGGATATGAAAATAAAGCTTTTCTAAAACATAATATTGTATTTTGGTCCAACTTTATTTATTGATCTTAGTGACAGAGTTTATATGTCAAAAACTCTAAAGTGTTCTCCCTGAGTTCTTACTGTTGTAGTAATAAGCACATACGCTTTTTTTTAACCCCTTAATGACATTTTACAGACAGCAGGCCATTATAAAAATCAAATATTGAGTAGAACCCATAATTTCTTGAAACAGCAACTTTGCTGATCACCAAATAGTCAGCCACTGTGTTCACATTCACTAAAAAAATTTAACATCATGCATCACTATCACCTTTTATATTTACCTGGCCACTAATTATTTCTGTTCTTTGTTGTTTCTATCTTTAAGGATTTTTTTTTATTGTGCCTAAAGTGAAATGAACAGTTTTAAACCAGAAATACAGACATTTTAATAGGAACAACATACAATTTTTATTTAACTAATGACAAGAACACTTCACTTCTTTCAACTCAGAGCCAAAATGTAAGTAATTTTCCTCTGGGATTATTAAAGTATTTCTGATTCTGATTCTGATCATTCTGACTGTGACTCACTTAATATGAGAAAATATTGCCTTGGTTTTTGTTTAATGCCTTTTTTATTCTTTGCCCCTATAAAATATAAAATGAAAATAAAATACTGGCCCCACCTTGCCCCCCCTGGTGAACCTGATCTAGAATACTGCTGTTCTGTTATCAGCTCTACTTCCTTGGATAACTTCTCACCAAATGTATTTTGACCGCACTGTATTATAGGATCAGATTTTAATTTCTGCAACTTCATTTTTTTTTTCTATATAATTGGATGCAACAGAGTATACTTCTTTCTTTCCATCTTTCTCCAGAATTTGCCATAAAGGAAACCCCTGTGGAATTAAGTTTGTGAAATGTAAAAAATCAAAAGGGTATGAATGCTTTCTCGATTAATTGTATAAGATAACTATCCTGGGTTATAATCTTAGGGATGGGTTGCAGTGCTCAAAGCGCTCAGGAAGCGACCTGGAAGCTCCTTTTTTAAATTAGTCTGATTAAGAAGCAGGTAGGATTGGCTAAAAATGGGCTTGATTTCCTCTTGGGGTGATGTAAGGCGTGTAGGGCTCGCTTGAACGCGAGTAACCCCGGCAGTTTTACCGAAAATAACCCGGGCACTGCAGCATCAGCACCAGGCAGCTGCGCAGGTGCGGCCTTTAAAGAGACAGACCTAAACCTCCCTCATGTTTACTCTCAGCAGCCATCTGAATCCTTAAAACTTTATTCATCTGGATAGATCTCAATATCAAAAAACATTTCTCTGTTTTCCTTTAAAACCACTTTGTAGGTAACTTGAAGTGATTCCATGAATTACAATCGTTTAAATGATCATAAACTTTTAATGCAATGATTTAACAATTTCTCTTTATTATAATTATTGCAAATTAATGTTATAAAGGATCGATGTTAGTGGAGTTATCAGGAGCACAGCAGTATATCCTTCTCCAGCATCTTCCCAGGAACGCCCTGCATCCATCCCCAGGCAGCGCGCGCGCCCCGCAGACGCACCAACCGGTTAAAGAGGGAAGCGGCGGCTGCTCCGTCAGGCTGCAGCTGATGCTGCTGAGGCATTTGCAGCAGCGGCGTCTATCCGATCCGGTGTTTTTCACTCCGCTCCAAAAGACCAAAGGGAATGATGAAAACTGTCCTGCACGTCGAAGCCGAGGATATTTGTGGACGCGGTTCCTGAGTGGAGAAATATAATCCCGAGGAGAAAATCCAAACATGACATGCACCCAGCTCCCCTGACGAGTCTCTGGGATGCAGTCCTAGTTTGAGGCCGGGCCGGACATGATTTTAATCTCTGGGGCTGCTGGTGCTGATGCTGCTGATGCTGAGGATGCGGGATGATGAGCGCCGCACCCCGAGAGATACCCATAAGGATAATCCAGCTGAAAACTATTCGGATTGACTATTTGAACATTTGTTTGTTTGGGTTGTTTATTTAATTCATTTTTTTCCTTCCTATTCCTGTGCTGGAGAATTTGATGCTGAAGGATTGGGCTGTTTTGTCTGAAGAGACCAACTGAACGCTGTTGCTCTCACAGAACCAGGACTGAGCTGCTCACCTGGTCCTTTCAACACAGACAGTAACAAGTATGTTACATATTTGCATGTGAAGGTGTGAAAGCATGCATAAAAGTGACTGTTAAAGCTCTTTATATATATTCTAAAATCAGACCAATATCTAATTAATTCTAAGCATCTCCCTGATGGGTCCCTTTCCAGTGTTTGTTGTATTTGGTGCAGGTTAACAGGTGCTGGCCATATAAAAAGTCATAGCAGAGCACTGGATCAGCACTCCACTGCAAAGCTGCATAGATTCATTTGATTGCCATGTTTCCCCTTCTCATTAGAGGTGACTTTTGCAATGGCCCTGTACTGTTCACATGTCCTGTGTTTGGAGCTGAACATGGAGTCCTCTCTCTGACAGAGAGGCCATTAAAGTCTGTCAGTGTTGGGCATGGATTATAAGAGAACTGATAATGGGAAACTGCTAATGGTAGCATGATCAATAAAAACCCACAGTCAAATTTTATCGCCTATTATTCTCTTATCAGTTATTTCCTCATGCTAACACAGGATAAAGTGGGTCAGAGTGGATGGAGTACTACAAGCCTGTGGGACGTTATGTGACACTGCATGTGTGTGCGAAGAAAGCGTGTGACATTGTCCCTGTGTGTTAGCATTAGTCATTGCTGAAAGGAAGCACAACCTCTTTGACTTCTTTATGAAATATTTTCCAGTTTCTAATTTCATCCCAATGCCACAAAACACAGACTGCACAATGGTACTGGTATTTAAAGAAAGGTAGAGCCAAAAATAGCAAAAAGTTGATGAAAACCTCATAAATGAAAGGCTTCCATCATTTTAAATCTCTTTTCTCTCTAGTGTTAAATACTCGTACTCTTTCTTTTTTATATGTATTATTTTTTATTTTAGTGAATTTCAGGGTGTTTGTAGATTTGATTTTGTGCAGTGCTTTAGTCCCTTTTGGTTTCTAAAGTGTTATATAGATAAAGTTGGATTGGACACCTAATTTATAAATCATTATTTAGTTTATTTGACAGTTTTCAGGGCTGCATTCTTTCATGATTTGACAATTCAAACCAGTAGTCAATTTTCTTTTAACATAAAAATATATACTTGCAATAAAAACAAAAATATAGATTTCCACGAATTCCATGAGTTCTCAATGGAAAGTAAAAAGTAAAAATTCTGCTTCCTTTATATTCAGTGTGTGGAAACATCACAATAGGCATGACAGTAGAGCTGGACAGCAGTAAGCTGCATGGTGGTAGAGCAACTTTTGGCTGGTTTTGATATCAGTTCTTAGTGTTTTAAAGATGCTATGTATGTGTTTCAGTTGCTGTGGATAAACAAGCAGACATGATAGCAATTGTCTTCATGATAAAATGTTAAAATCTCTATATAGGGCGACAGTGGCGTCGGATGTAGGAGTTTGCACTGAAATCGAAGGATTGACGGTTCAAGCCCCGGCTCCGACTTTCAGAGTCGTGTCCTTGTATTGTCTACTGATGGTGGTCAGAGGGCCTGGTGGTGCCAGTGTACGGCAGACTCACTTCTGTCAGTGAGCCCCAGGGCAACTGTGGCTACAATGTAGCTTGCCACAGTGAGTGTGTGGGTGAATGACTGAATGTAGTGTAATGTGCTTTGGTCAAGTCTCCTGACTTGAAAAAGTGCTATATAAGTACAGGCCATTTACCATATTATTCCTGTTATAATAACCTATCTGATTATGCTACATTAGCTTTGCCAAACAACCTCTTTTTTTCTGACTACCAGCATCAACATGGTTTTTATACTTGAGTGATCATGGAAAATCTGGGATCAATACAAAATTTTCAGTGCTCATAGCAGCCGGGGATGGTCACAGGGAGCTTCCAGGTGTTTGGTTTTTGCCAAATTTTCTGTGAAATGCTGGTGGCATTTTTCTTTCCTTTTGTGTTTGCTTTCAGCGCTATGGACCGGTTCGGTCTGAAATAGCAGTGAATTTGAATATAATTTCAACATTTAGCTGCGGCAAGATATCAAGAAAATGTCTTAAAGTGAGAAGTGTATTTAGAATAGAATAGAATAGAATAGAATAGAATAGAATAGAATAGAATAGAATAGAATAGAATAGAATAGAATAGAATAGAAATATTCTTTTTTGGGGGGGAAATTCGGGTGTAACAGCAAACTGCATGTGGGGCTTGTTTTTCAGGGGTTGTTAGATCTTAATTAGATTAGAATTTAAAAGTAAATGGAAAAACAAAACACATTGAGAATGTAATTTGGTTCTTTAGGTGAGAATCAAAAAGGTCATTTTAAAGAGTCTGCAAAAGTAGCTTCAAAAATTTACTGGAGTATTTGGTCAGAAACAAGTCACTCCCTCTATTATAGTTGCTTAGTTTTTCTTTCCATTAAACAAAGTTTAGTTTTTAATCTCTTTAGCTCGGATACTGTGTAACCCAAATTTTTGAGGGCCCTTTAACACATCAAAAGTGAACTTAGTGAGGAAATATTTTTCTTTTATTTCCATAAAGATCATGTCATGAAACTATGCTTTTCAAACCAAGTCTTTGAATGTCTAGGGTGCATTTTGTAAAGTTACTTTGAGGTGCTGAAGTTATTCTATAACATTCTGTTATCTGGATTCGTTGTAAAACACAGTAGTTTATACAAATGTGTCCTGCTTCTGATTGTGATCACATTGCAGAAGACAGAAAGCGTTCTTAGCTGCATGAAGCCTCCAGATATTAACTTGAAGTTATTGTTTAAAGCCAGAATATCATTCTTCAGAAGGTGTCATGGTTAAGTTTGAAAAGTTTTTAATTTATTCATCGTTATACATACTTTTAAACAAATTTCTGTTGATCTACTCTCTGTTTGCTCCCATTGGAGGTATATTGCTTGCTTTTGTTTTAAATAGTTTGGAAAAGGGATAGATTCTTGAGCACGAGATGCCTAATATTTGCAGCCAGACAGGCTGGTCTGGGAGGAAGTTCTCCTGAATCAGCAGGACAGGACTGTAAGTGTGCTGCAGGACTGAAACCAGAGCCTCACAATTTCATTGGCTCTACGCAGCTCCTCCATCCACTAAATGCTTGTCAGATCATGCTTAGCACTTTATGGGGCATCAAACTGAAAATGGCGACTTCCAAATGTATTTATACCTCTTAACTGTTGTATGTTTTGTCAAGTTACAACCACACACTTCCATTTTTCAGGGATTTTATGTGAGCAACCAACACAAAGTAGTGCATGGGAAGCAGAAGGAAAGTTATAAAAGCCCAAGTCAATACTTTTTGTGGAGCGTCCTTTTTTTGAAATTACTGCTGCAAATCCTCTGAGCCAGGCGTCTTGGACCAGCTGGGTGGGGAGAATATATGAACAGTATTTTTTATTCAATTCTTATGGATTTTTTATTAAATGTTTTTGCTTTGACTAGGCCAGTCTCCAGCTTTATTTTTTAGAGTCCTCCTGCCTTCTGAGCCTCTGCCTCAGTCTAAAACTTTTTTTGATAGGTTTTCCCTCCATAAATCCCTCCTTAACACAGCTCAAGAAACGCCATCCCACAGAATGATACTGCTACCAACATGTTTCATGCTGGAGATGCTGTTTTCAGATGACACACAGTGTTCTACATGTAGGTAAAATGTTTCATTTTCAGCCCCGTCTTCCCCATGTTTCCTTGAGACAAGGAGCAGTCTGGACTTTTCATGGCTTCCTTTCAACATTTAGTTTTCTTCTTACAGTTATACTCACCATAGAGACTAGAGCAGTCATCTTATTGCCAGATCCTCCCACCTGAGCTTTCTCTGCAGCCCCTCCAGCGTTGGACCTTTGGGCTTCTTGGATTAAGACTCTGCTTTCAGTCATTTGAAGTAGATATACACATTTTTTGGTATGTTTGCAATTTTTCCATACAAGCTTTGGATGATGGAACAGACTTCTGTGGGATTCAAACTTAAGGAGTTCATCTGGAAACCTGACCTTGCATTACACTTTTTCAGAACTTTCTTCCTGCTTCATTTTCTCAGTGAAGCTGTTCCTTTACTAATGAGGTCTAACAAACCCCTTAAACCTTCACTGAAAGGCTTGATTTGTACTGAGGTTAAATTAAATATCAGTGGACTCTATTTCAATTAGTTAACCTCTTAATGTAATTAGATGCTGGGGTATGTTTAGAGGTATATGAGTGATGAGGACTGATGGAGAGGCACTAAACATCTTCAAAGGTTTTTTTGTTAAGTATTTTGCAAAGGTGTCATATAATGAAGTACAAATATTTATTCTAATTATGGCTTTTTGCATCTCTACTTTAATTATATTCGACCACAAATATCTGTACTTTCTACTCCTTTCTTTCTTAAAACTCGCTTGTTACTTCAATAGATAACGGTATGATGTAACAGCTGCAAGAAAACGGGGAAAATCAAGACAGTAAAGGCAATCCGTCCAGTTGGAGCCCAGACCGTTTAGAGAAAAACACTGTTAGCGACGTGGGTGGACATTTAAGATGATGGATCAGATTCTGAGATGCACAACATTATCCACCCTTTCCCCCTCTTATTAGATTTCAAATTGAAATGTTTATTATGTTTCAGGTTCTGTTTCAATTGTAATGCTATTTGCAACTTCAACGCTGTGAATATCGAAGCTCTAAAAGTATTCAGCTGCTCATGCAGGATTTCTGTTCAGTTTAATCAATAATATCCTGTCTAAACTTAAAAATTACAACACAACTTAACCCAGTATTTGTTTATGTTCCTTCTCCTTACACAATGCGCAAAAATATATATATATATATATATTAGAGAAATCAATTAACCTTTTTTTTGTTTATTATTGTAGGAATTTAGTTTTTAAGGTTCTAAACCTGTATTTTTTTACTTTTACCTAAGCAGGTCAGGCTGTGCTTTCACTTTTACCAGAGGCATTTTTTTTTTACAGTTATCTATACTTCTAGTTAAGAATGTGAGTACTTTAACAATATTTTGATGCTTTAGATACCACTTTGTAATCATGCTACATTTTGCTGCACTATCACAACACTGAATTGTGTCTATAATGTGTTAACCTGTCAAAAAACTTTAATTAATTTAATGTAAGTGCAGAAAATACCTCAAATTATTAAAATAAAACAAATATTAAATACTTATATATTAACTCATACAGTTATGCAGTTAGACTTTTTTGCATTTGATTATTTGAAATAAAGGGGAGTTATTTATTCATTGTTATTATACTTAAGAAAACACATATCTACACAATTTTTTAAGAAAGAAATTTGTGTGTAAAAAAAAGTGTCAAAAATCTTAATTGAATGTCCTTAAGTGCTGAAAATACCTTAAAATATCGAAATAACAATAACAGAACAATTACTTTAAATCAGTTATCAAATTGTACTTTATGCTTTTGTATTTTATATGAACTTAAGCATGAGTAATGACCCTTATTGGAGATTGTTTTTTTTAAATATTATTGTGCTTAACAAAAAAATCAGCAATAAATTATTGAGGGGAAAAAAAAATAAAACTGCGCATGAGAGGATTATATTATATAATATAATATTAGGATTTTATTAAATTTTTTTAGTATTTAATGAATTGTGTCTTCCCTGCAGCCTTTCAGGATGGCTGAGAAAACTCTGGACCCTGGCTCGGTCAGCATTCCCATGGAGGAGACCAAGCTCCCCGGAGGAGCGCCCCAGGAGGCGCCGCTGCTCACCCACCTGAAGAAAGTGGAGAACCACATCACAGAAGCTCAGCGCTTCTCCCACCTCCCGCGGCGCTCCGCTGTGGACCTGGAGTTCAACGAGCTGTCCTACACCATCCGGGAGGGCCCCTGGTGGAGGAGGAGAGGTACTGCACTCTCATGCTCAGGGAAAAAAAAAAAAAAAAATGATGGATGCTCAAGTGAACACCACCCATGACGATCAATATCTGCAGTGCAGAAAAATGCATGTTTTTAAAAGCTTTTTTTGACAGTTCTTGAAATGTATTTTCCCTGTTCCTTGCTTCTTTTTATTGCTCTGGCACATCCAGGATGTTGTTGCACACACAGACATCCAGCATGCAGGAGCAGCCGGTCCTCCTTCCCTGCAAGCTTTGCTGCACTCAGCAGAGTTTAGACATAGTAAATAATTTACAGCAGGTTTGCACACTGCTTGCATCTCTTTTGCCTTTGTTGTGTTACAGGCGGTGGTGTCCAGCACACAATTAATACACTATGTTCAAATGAACTCGGTGTCCTAAATACAGTAATCATTCATTCTAACCTGAATATCTCAACTCACCTGGCTGCTGTGCCTGTGTTGATTTAGCAAGGCGTGCTGACATTCTCCACATGGTGTAAGATGTTTGCATGGGGATATTTTTAGTTTCAAGTAATATTGACAGCTTTATTAAAGTCTGGCAGTGGAGTGTTTGCTGCTCTGTTGTGTAACTCTGGATGTATGGAGGGTAATGATGAGGGGTTAGATCAAAGGGCTGCATTGATCCGTGTGTAGTCTGTCTTCATTTGTGTCATCAAATATTTATCTATGATATATACAATTTTTGGGGAAATGTTTGCTCAGATTCACAGAGCTAATGATAATGTACCGAAACTTCTCTTTTCTTTCATTTCCGTCATTGAGGAAACCTTGTTTTTTGATTAAACTCTGTTTTAGTCTCTAATCCACCCTTACTGATCATACATTGAACATGATTCCATGCTTTTCTGATTTTCTCTTTAAGGACACAAGCAGCTGTTTTGACATTTAACAGAAATGTTGCCTGATGAAAGCCACTCCTTCTTTGTGTAAAGAGTAAAAGAGCATTAAAGGTTGCTTTGTTAATTCCTGACACCCACTATATTTGCGAATGTTTTCACTCTGCCTTTATTGAGGGCAGAGTTACATTTACTTGAATACATTTAGGAAAGAATTGTACTTTAAGGAGTAGTTGTACTCTGCCATATACTTTTTACCTTTGACTTGGGTAATATTTTTGTTAGAGTATTGCTACTAGACCAAAATTTCTAGTTACTTTACCCACCAAGATTAACTGGAGCTATTTCAAATTAACTAAATAAACAGACAACAGTCAATATTTTTGTTGGAATCTCTTAATTCTTTCCTAAAGAATAATAATAATAATAAAATAAAAAAAAAGGCTGGGAAAGTGTTTTATTATGTTATTTTGTGATAAATATTTTTTGGGTACTGTACTTAGCTCTGGCCTTCACACACACCACGCACGGTAAGAATTTCCATAAGTTGTTGAAACCTGTCCATCAGAAACTTAATCAAATTGCCCAGAGTGAATCTGTAGAAGTAAAATAAAAAAAATAAGCATATTAGTTGGAAAGTAAATTTCACTAAAATGTTTAAAATTGTGTTTAATTGTGTGACACTGAATAAAAACCTTATTAAACTATTTGAACTGAACATATTGACATAAAAACTGTATTTTATTGTCTTGAAAAATTCATTCTTACATTTTTTTGTACCACACATTTGGGTCTTTGAAAAAGACCAGAGTAAACAAACACAGATTCACATGAACCAGGTGAGTCCAATCTGCATTTAATTTACTGTGCAGATTGGACTCACCTGGTTCAGTTGTTGGACTAAACAAACACATGACATTGAGATGACATGACGGGTCCACATCCCCCATCTCTGGTTGATTACATCATGCATAAATATTGTCAGGCAAAAAAATGTCCCTGCATGTCACAGTCTAAACAGGCTGTGTTGTTCTATCCAGTAATTTCTATATTCTTGGTGCTACTTTAGCATAACACTGGGAGCCAATTAGCTATGGGTTAAGGGGAACACTGATGATGTAAAACCTGCTGCTTGCAGTGCTAATTTAGCATTTACAACTAAAAGGGACATTATCCATCCACCCATTTTCTATTACGCGTATCCCTGCTGGGGTCGCGAGGGGCGCTGGTGCCTATCTGCAGCTGTCAATGGGCGAGAGGCGGGGTACACCCTGGACAGATCGCCAGTCCATCGCAGGGCAACACAGAGGCAAACAACCATTCACGCACACACTGACACCTAAGGAGAATTTAGAGAAACCAATGAACCTAACAGTCATGTTTTTGGACTGTGGGAGGAAACCGGAGTACCCAGAGAAAACCCACGCATGTACAGGGAGAACAAGCAAACTCCATGCAGAAAAACCCAGGGCCAGGAATCGAACCCAAACCTTCTTGCTGCAAGGCAGCAGTGCTACCCACTCCCCTGAAAGTAAAATTGGTAAAACTTAATTTTTCACTGCAATAAGATATAGTATCAAAGCGTGGTAACCCTTTAACATATAGTGTATCACATATGATTAATGGGTTTTTGAGACCTTTACATCTTTAGTGTGATATTTCTGTTCCTGAAATACCTTATACAGTCAGACACATGTAGTGAACAGAATATATCTACCAGTATATAAAGTTGTACAGAAAGACCTGCTGTATCTCAAATGACACAAAAAATATATCTGACGTAACTTATTCAAAAGAGATTTTTCTTTTCACTTTACCAGAATTTTTACTGACAGCTTTGCTTCCAAAAACTGTAATTTTAACAGAATTATTTCATTTGTTAGACTTTTAGGGATTAATTTTCAAAATTAAATATATGAAAGTGAATGAGAACTTTATTAAAGTTTTCATTCACTTTCATATAATTAAACAGTTGCAATTTATTGAAAATCACGTTTAATTTTGAATTTTACACATACAGATGAACTTTTGGCAGCTTAAATTTATCTCCTGATGGCACAGGTTTCTGCCCCTATCAGATGGTCAGAGGAGTGCAGTTTGAAATTCACTGCTTATTATGATAAGTTTTCTTTATAAATGCCAAACCAGATTCCTCCATTAGATTACCAGGCAGAGAGAGGGTTCAGCAGGTTCAGCAGTGGTGTGCTTTACACCACTGGCTCCCCTGCTTTCCATTCCACTCCATGATGAATGGTTTAGATGCAGCTGCTCCACCAAACACTGTTACATGAAGCTCCAAGGAGACATTCCTGAGCTAAACTGAAGATTTCACTAAGTTTAGAGGATTGAAGCTATTGACTCAGAAGTTTGGTGGCATTTATTAGCCAATGCTCGGTGGTTAATTTTCCAACTCTGTGATTATTTTGACAACCTAGAGTGACTTGTTCTTTTACAAATGTTTGTAGAAGCAGTCAACATGTCTAAGTGTTGGTTTTTACCCACCTGTGATAATGGGCTTAGTTGGAAAACACAAATTTAACCATTTAAGTGGGTCAGTAAACACTTAACAGAATTACAAATCCACTTTTGTTAGTTAACTTCAGATTAGAACTCTGATTCAAACAGCTTTGTATAGATTTATTTTGTATCGCAGCTGCATAATTTAGTTCAGAAAATCTTTACCATAATAGTAGCTTTAATTTTAGAACATTTTTTCAATAGCATATTATTACTTTCCAAAGATAAACAGCTGATGCCACATCTGGTGCGGCTAAAAATCCTCTATAATTAATATGACTGAAGCATTTTTTTTTACAGGCAAGCTCTTGTTTTATTTATAAAGTTTTTAAGTGTTTTTTAGACACTTTCTAACAGAAGTCTAAGTGCTTTTGTCACCTTGAAGTATATATTTGACAAGACACATTGGGCTGCTTTGTTTTTGGTGGCCGCAAGGCTGATTTTGGAGCCATATTTATTTCCCCAGTGATCACAGAGAGCAGGATGGTAAGATAATTGATCCATCTACCTGAAACTTACTGTGGGGGAAATGAAGTTCAGAAAGACATCAACTCTCCAACAGCTATCAGGGGCCATCAACATGCCGTTGTCAGGAAGAAATGACAGCTTTTTTCTTTTTTTGTCCTACCATAACAAACATTAACAGGGGAAGTTTGCAAAACTCTCCTGAGTCAAAGCTTTCTGCTGTGGTAAGATAAGAATAGGATCAATATTTTTGGTCTAATAACCCTCCAGGTTGGTCTACCATAAGATTAAGAATATATGGGAGAGCATTTAAACCATACTGTTGCACACAGTGAAGGATCTGTAATGCTGTGGGCCTGTTTAGATTGTTTTATTCCAAAGTCCCTGAGGAAAACCAAAAGTGAGTGTTGCATCATTAGCTAAGAAAGTCTGAAATAACAGGAGATTTAAGTTGAGATCTGAAGAATTTTATTTAAGAAATTGTTTATTATTTTAAAAGATTGAAACAATTGTTTTAAAAATCTTGAGGGTTGCACTGTGACACAGTGGGTAGCACTGTTGCCTTGCAGCGAGAATGTTCCAGATTCGGTTCCCGACCCAAGGTCTTTCTGGAATGGAGTTTGCATGATCTCCCCGAGCATGCATGGGTTCTCTCTGGCTTCCTCCTACATTCCAAAACTGGTTGACTGGTGACCTGTCCAGGGTGTACCCCGCCTCACGCCCGTAGACAGCTCTAGATGGGCACCATCGCCCCTCGCGACCCCGCTTGGGATAAGTGTGACAGAAAATGGATGGATGGTTTTATTGAAAGGGTGGAGCTGGTGGATGGCCCAATCATTGGCCATCGCTTTCAGATGATTGTTGTTTCCATGAGGATGTGATACCCCTCTAAAACAAAAGGTGGCAGGCTGGCAGCAGTGATACTCTCAAGTGAATCGTCTATCACTCACAAAAATATTTCACCAAAAACTTAAGATTATGTAATTTTATTACATAATGAATTCACATTAAATTTTTCTGTAGATAAATTGAAGACAAAGCAATTAAATAAACCTTATATGGTGCATAATTATTTGTATAATAAAGGTTATTTATTTGAAATACATAATGTATTTAGTATTTATAAAGTAAACTTACTCAAAATGTATACTAATCCGGGAATTTTTTC